GATGGCTGACTGTCAGCACCAGACATATAGTCTTGTCATGTTTCCTTTAAAAGTGCAGCAATGGCAACAATTTGACCAGTAATTTTTGGTTCTTTGAATTATCAAAGGACTCAAGTAGTGTATGAGGCTATCTGACTTTTGTAACTTATGTACAACTTCTTACATTGTGTCTTAAACATTTATGCAAAATTTGCTTCAAAAATGGTGCTCAAACTTCACCAAACTAAAGTGCTTTTCTACAAACTCTGTTGATTGGTGATATTATACATCTTGTGCATCAGAAAACCCCAAATGCACCAAAAAGCACCCATGGGAAATGGAAGAAAATTGCATTTGTTGATGATTATTACATAAATCATATCAAATATAATATTTTCTTATGTTTCCCATGGGTTCTTTTTGTGCATGAGCTATGCCGGCCCTGTTACGACGTTTACAGATATACAGATACATATAATTTGATTTGGTGTTTAGCCCTTGCTGATTGTAACAGGGACGTGTGAATTGGGGATCAAAAGAAGTGTTACCTTTGATGTACAGAAGTTCAAAACAAATGACTTTATGGCAGGAAGACGTGAGACAATGCCGTGCAAGGTATGTCCCATGAATGATGCCAATATCTGTAAGCCATACTTGATCATACTTATACCCCTATGGCCCCAGTACATACGGGACATGTACCATGTTACATGCAACAGCTCCTTGGGGTTACCATGGAGGTAAAAGAGAGAATTTTCTACCTCCATGGGGTTACCAACTCTCTTTGCATGTAATTCCTCTATTTGGCTGATTTCTCCTTATTCTAGCCGCCTTCCGAAGCCTGGTAGAGGCTAAGTTTTAACCCCTTATTATTGCAGACCAATGGTCATGGAAAAAAGATATAACACCGTTGCCTCATACAAACAAGCCAGCAAATTATCCAACTTCTGGCCAGAGTGGCTGGCCCACTCCACTAGCTGACCAAGGAGGTTGAGGAGGTTTTTGTCCCTCTAATGGGCAGACCAGATGTGGATTACCGCCAGTGGGGTGCCAGTTGACAGTTCACACCAGTTTCTGTAACTGTCCTCATCGTGTTTTTTGTTTCAATTTTGAAATAGACATAAGGTCGCAGTACACAGTATATATGGGCGAACCCCGTAGTAGTCCAGCAGAAAGTAGTGCTGCACAATACTAGAGAAAGGGGCAGAGATTCTTGTGTGTACGCCAGCGAGGCGGATACTGTCACTGCCTAGTGCAGTGTGTTTGCTGCAATTCCGTGACCTTCCGCATAGCGCTTTTAAAAGATTGCGTCACGAGTGAACGAGCCGACAAACTCTAGCCCCTTTTCACATATTTTGTACATTATACCTTGAACTCAAACATATTCAACTCCTGTAAGTTACTTTTGCACCCTACTATATTTTTCACCACGTCGAAGTAGGTCATAGAAATGCCCATATAGGCCGGAAACTGTGTACTGCTACCATAATGACATCAGTTTGTTGATGCCCAACAAAGTTAGTTCATGGTCATTTCCAACATCATGTAAAAGATTAGCCTGGGTTCCAGACCCATAGCACACTGGACACAAAGTATCCAGTGTGCTATGGGTCTGGAACCCAGGCTAGTAAAAGATGTGTCAGAAGCTGACCATGATGACATGTTAGCCTGGCCTATATATGGGGCATTTGTAACTAATTAGCCACACCAGGGGGTGAACTGTATGTTGTTGTTTTTGTTCTTGTGGCACTGGAGACCAAACTGTCCTCATACTGAACAAAGATTTTTTTGTGCACAAAATGTACATCAGAAATGTGAAATAATGAAAAAAAATATTTTGAAAAGTGATAGTAAATGTTGATGACTCAGAAATTTGGTACACATGTATTTAGTTTCTTGGATGCCTACTAATTACCTAGGTTGTGACAAGTTTACTTCCAAACATTTAAGAAAATAAGCCCAAGCAAGGACAAGATACATGTATACTACTTATTACTAGGCCCAAGTTATCCTGTTCCCTCTATTCCCACGCTGCTGCATCCCTGTTGAATCTGTGACAGTCCTAATGGTATCACAGTGTGCGATAATCACTTCCTCCCCTGACTCCTTCCCTCACACCCTTTGCATAGTAAACTAGCAGGTGAAAATCCATCTTCTGAATCCAGCAGGGCACAGAAAATAATTATGAGGGAGTACTAAGGTCTAGTTCTTACTGTGACTTTTCTAGCAGTTTCAATGGTGAAGTCCTAGAGTCCGGTCCTATCATAGCCAAAAGGACTGTACATCCTAGAGTCCAGTCCTATTAATACTGCACAGTTGCCTTGTTGCAATTATTGAATTAAAATAAAAAAAAATATTGCCCAGTCAAAACCCTAGAGTCCAGTCCAGACTCCTATCACAGTCAAAACAGCCCAATAGATATAATGTTAGAACCAGACCCCCTGTTTGATACTGTCACTGCCAATTGGGTACTGTCTTTCCACCGCCACCATAAATCTGCTTGGAGATTAGACCTGTCCCCCTGTTCAGTACAGAGTTGTTTTTTTACCTGACCCCTTGTCCAGATTGTTTGACACCCCTGTCCAGTAGAGAACAGCCCAACCTCTTCCACCCCCATACTCCTTTCATTTTGGTATAGCCCAATCATTATGACATACCACAAACCATTAGAAGTCTGATGGCATGGTCCAAACTGCTATGGTGTAAAACTTAAAATGCATCCTGAATCAATGGATTGACCAAAACCATACTAGTACATGGGTCAGTGGAAGGAAACAGCAGAGTGCTTTTAAAATATCCAATTACAGTATCAATTGAATTCAAGTATATATTAGAGTATATATTAAAAATGGACTACCAGATTTGTATGTAACCTCTTCGAAAATGCTGAAGAAGACATTTGGAAAAACTGACATACAGAATTAGCAAACTAGCAGTACTTCATGCATGCACATTATGCCTTCCTATCTTTACAGACATTGTACAGATCAAGGCTAAGGTAAGTGTGCATGTAGGTATTATTTTTCTGCTACACTGTATATTGTACCAAGGAGGTTATATAGAGAAGGTCTCTATATTGATTGTACCATTTTGTTTTTCAGGAGTTTCAAGTTTGGATGCCCTGCTAAGGTATACGTATCTTCTGATAGAAAGAGTGGGAAACTCATTGTGAAGACCCTCCGAAGTGACCACAACCACTCGGTTAGCAGAGAAATCAAAGATATGTATCCACCTCAAAGGAGGCTATATGGGAACACTCGGAAAGAAGCTTGTAACCTTACAGCTTTAGGTGTGGATGTGAAAGTTCTCAGGGAGTACATACATGAAAGGAGTGGGAAGCTGACAACACTGAAAGACCTTCACAATCTAAGGGCAAGCCTCAGGGAAGGAGAAGTAGAAGCCGATGCAGTGATCAGAACACTCCAAGATTTCATGGAGCTTGATGAAGAAAACAGAGTAGGCCTGGTATTGAAAGATGACAACACACTGGACTCTTTGTTTCTTCAGACAGCAGAAATGGCAAACATCTTCGCAAAGTATCCAGAAGTAGTCCTGATAGATAGTGCTTACAACACAAACAACCTGAACATGCCATTATTCACCATCTGCGTGATGGATGGAAATGGCATTGGTCAGCCTGTAGCCTACGTGCTGCTAAGTGATGAAACACAGGCATCCCTGTCTAGGGCACTGCGCATATTCAAGGAGAGCAATGCCCACCACACCCACGTGAAGACAGTGGTGATGGACAAAGATCCATCAGAAATTGCAGCCGTTTCTGAGGAGCTTCCCGAAGCCAAGGTAGTAATCTGCCTTTTCCACGCCATCAGAGCTCTACACCAGGCTGCCAGCAAACACGTTAAGGACAGAGATGTCTTTGAACAGGTCATCAAGCTGATCAACACCTTAGCCTATTCACTTGATGAAAAGAGCTATGATGACGCATATGCTGAGTTGCTGATGCTGGAAGGAGCCAGTGAGTTTGCGAGGTATTTCTCAAAGAACTGGCACAGTGTGCGCCGGGACTGGGTGAAGTTCTGGATAGACCAGCATGTCCACTATGGGAATCGCACGAACAATCGTGTCGAAGCTAATCAATGGCAAGCTCAAGAAGCTCCTGAGAGCAAAAGGTCACTCTGTCAGAGCTGATTAGTAACATCTTAATCTTCACCAGGGGCCAAAAGTTGCACAGACGAAATGTGCCGAGTGTTCAACCAGAAAATGAAAGTACCTGTTGGAAGAAGTTGTCCTGTGGAAACTGCATACTCGGAAGCTTGCACAGTCCATGCAAGTCAATACATTTCCAAGCAGTTAGCAAGAGCAAAGTTGGGCAAGTACACAGTGAAAACGCAGGATGATGGAAGTTTTGTGGTGAGTGTCCCTGGAAGTGATCGTTATTACATTGTGAACAACACTTGCTCTGGATGTTCCTGTGGCTACTGGAAGTCCATGAAACTGCCGTGTAGGCACATATTTTTCGCCAGAAAGAAAGCAGCCCTGGAACTGTTTGATCTGTCCCTGGTGGCTAAACGATGGTTAAAGGATGCCCTGCCTCGTCCTGAAATGGGCGTGATCCCAAGACCACCTTCCATCACATGCAGGACTTTGGCACAACCTACTCGACCTGTATCAAGGATCTCAAAGTACAAAGCAGCATTAGCTATCTCCCAAGAGCTTGCCAATGTCATTTCCACGAGTGGCCAGGAAGAGTACCACAACCGTGTAGAGCAGCTAAAGTACATGCTGAATTGTTATAAAGCCAACACAGCTGTGGCAACAGTCCCATTGGTAGATTCAGTAGAAGTACCTCCAGAACATGATGGTGTAAGGAGCAGTGCACCTGAGACAACAACAGCACGGCCAGCCTCACATACAGGTGGAAGTCCTACAGCTGATGGTGGAAGGAGCAGTGCACCTGAGACAACAACAGCACGGCCTGCCTCACATACAGGTGGAAGTCCTACAGCTGATGGTGGAAGGAGCAGTGCACCTGAGACAACAACAGCACGGCCTGCCTCACATACAGAAGAAACACATGCAGAGCATCATCAGAGAAGGAGCAGTGCACTCCAGGCATTGAAAACCATGAAACTTCCTGTTGCGGTAAAGGTGAAAGGGAGGCCAAAAGGTTGTAGAAACAGCCTGAACATAAGGTGCAAAAAGATGAAAACAGGAGATAAAAAGCCTACTGTTGCAAAGGCCTCACTCTTGGGAGAAAGTCCTACAGGTAATGGTGTAAGGAGCAGTGCACCTGAGACAGCAACAGCACGGCCTGCCTCACTGACAGGTGAAAGTCCTACAAAACGTGTACTACAAATATCTCCAGACAACGTACATGACGTAGTTCAGTCAGCACTGAGGCCAACTCCAGCAAATGAGAAACTAGTGGAGGGGTTTGACATGTGGATTACCAGGAAGGACATGCACACACTGGATGGATACAACTGGCTGACTGACAAAGTAAGCACCATTATCACATTAGTTACTACTGATTGGTACTAGAACTAACTTTATGGCATCAGTGTAGGTCATTTAAAACTGGACAGGCAACATATTAGAAAAGTAGAAAAGCTACAATGAGTATGAAATGCAGTGGTGAATCATTTGACAAAAATAGATTTCCTTTCCTTTAAAAATTGCAACATCAAGAACTCAAGATGAACCAAAAACAGTGTTTCTCCTTCCTTTTCCACCCCACAAGGCATTCTAATTGATGTTTGTGTAAGGAAACTTGACTGTATCTCAATCTTTTTACAGGTCATAGACTTCTACTTCAAACTGATTGAGGAAAGAGGAAAGAGACAGGTGAGTATGCAACCCTTTGTTTAGAGGGCCCAAAATGTGCTTGATTAAAAAGACTGACTTACATACAGTTAGGGTATCAAATGTGTGACGGTGACCATTATCTAAAAAACTGTTATTGAGTCATGAAGATGGACTAGTGTAAATTGTTCTTGATACCTTTGTAATGTTCCAAGAGGATACCTTTCTTGTTCCAATTGAAGAATTGTCTAACAAATAGAATATCTGTATTTCCTAGGGCAACCTTAAAGTCTTTGCCTTCAGCATCCACTTCTTCAACCTGCTGACACGAGATGGGATCAATGAACACACCATGAAGTGGGCGGAGAAAGTGGACCTGTTTTCCATGGACCTGGTTCTCATCCCATTGCATCTTCCGACAAAGATGCACTGGGTCTTGATGGTAATTAATTGACACCATGTTGGTTGCTGACCCTTGAAAGGTCAGACCAACAAATTTGAATGTTTATGATGCTACTAAATTGAACATTGTTATCTTTGTTCAGTTATTCTGGAGGCACTAGGTATAGACTCCTATAGATACAGTATGAATATGGTGCAATTGAAAATGAGATATTGATATGTTAAACATTTTCTGCAGGAAAAGTAATGAGTTCACTTTTTTCTTTCTGTGTCCAGATCATCGACATGCGGACTAAGAGCATGTCATACTATGATTCAATGGGAGGTGATAACGAGCATGCCTTCAATGTCCTCAGGTAGGTGACTGAAATACAGAAAAAGGTATGAATATTTTGCATGGTACAGTATTTACAGTAATTCCAACAATGCACCCCCCAGCCTGTGACAATTTGTATATTATAACATTACATATCTGAAATGTTACATAACAAATCTAAGTTGGAGCAAATCATAATCATGACTGTTTATGCATGTACTCTGTGTGTGTGTTCTTCAACAAGGTAAAAAGGCACAGGTATTATATGTAGTTTAATACTAGTCAATAGAAGTTTCATCAGGTCCTCTCTTTGTTTTGTAGGGACTACCTCGTGGCAGAAAGCAGAAAGAAGGGAAGTGAGATGAACCTGTCAGAATGGACAGCATGTTATCCTAAGGTGCGAATTGACTGCATTCTTAGCAGGGTCTTAACATTACTCAGTGAAAAGTTATGAAAAACTCCTTGAGTTTTGAGATCTGAACAGTTTTTGCCAGTTTTTGTTCCCTTGCTAGCTTGGCTGTGACATGGCACCAGTATTCAAACTTCCATTTTTTGTTATTGCTCCCCCCCCCCTGTAGGACCCTCCACGGCAGCAAAATGGGAGTGACTGCGGAGTGTTTGTTTGCAGATATGCTGAATATGTCAGCAGAGGTGCGACAATTGATTTCAGCCAGGTAGGGACCAATGTGCTGTGTTGAGAGTAGAAATAGAGACATAATTCATGAGACATGAAGGCAAGTAGACATTTCTTGCCTTGAAATTTGCTGTTTTTAAGTCCAAATTTCTAGTCCATTTGTATTCATACACATGCACTCCACCATACTTAAGCATTGATTTTAGCTGATGAACCCTATGTTTCAAATGTGTGAAAATATTTTAAATTCTTGCTGTTTTTTTATACACAGGAGGACATGAGGGTCTGGAGGATGAGGATGGTGCTGGAAATCCTCATGAAGGACTTACTTGACAATAAGTAAGTGTTATATATGCAACTCCTGTGCTTAGGAAATAGGCCACGTCATGTATGTAAAAAAAATTGGGCAAAAGCTGTGCCTACACTTACATGTAGATACACAGTGCAGACTATCACTGATAGAGAATGATTAAAAGCTGATAAAGAATGATTAAAAGCTGATAAAGAATGATTAAAAGCTGATAAAGAATGATTAAAAGCTGATTGTGCCTGTAAGCTAAGGGAGTTCGTCCATCACATGGTAATAATCACTGCAACATTTCAAACCTTTACCATGAGTCGCACCTTTGTATGTAGCCTCCACTGTAGTCTGTAGCAGTTTAGATTTGTTTTTACGACTAAGGCATTTCTCTTTTTCAGGATGGACCTAAAGACTACAAGGCGCAACCTGGAGGAGCGCATTGTTGGATATATCAAAACCAAACAGGATGCCGAGGTAAGACCAGCCAGACTTGTTCCCCCCCCCCATTCACCATTAGTTCATTTAACTATTTTTGTAAACCAAACATTGAACAAATATAATCTCTTAACTGATATAAATTTTCTGACAGTGATACAGTCTATTACAATTCACAATAATTCATGTTCACTTTCCTAAACTTTGTGTTTGTTTGTTTGTTTGAATACTTTTGCACCCCTAGTGAGCCTGTATTTCTAATAGAAAGTAGCCCTGTCAATCATAGCATGATTTGTGTGTTTTGCTCCATCAGTGTGGCTTATTTTGAATCTTACTGTTGCCATGGCTTTATACTTATCTCCTCTTAGGAAGGTTTTTGGGTTGTCTTCTTATTGGTGATGTTTTCCGTTTTAATAGCAACATCTAGCTGGCATCTACAGTGGAAGTATCGCATCCACAAGGCACGAGACCTTCAACCATAGAAGGAAGGCAGTTCGGAACAAGTTAGAATGGCAGGGCACAGGGTACATCACCAGTGATGATCTGGTAAGGATCCACCAATATTTCCTATCCGTACAAATGCATCCTTTGGTATTGAGTAATTTGTAGGAGAATGGACAGTTGTACAATGTTAATATTGTTGTTGCTATTGTGCAGTTGGAAAGGTAGCTACTTTTGATCCCAAATCTACTTTTGCTTTGAAATAGAAAAAAGAGTAATTGGCTCACCAGGTTCCAGAAAAGCACATCAGAAGTTGGTCTTCTCTAAATCTAATCATGATCATGTCATGTAACAAAGTACATTGTAGTAATCAGCACTTATTAGAATCATTGTACATCTATTTGTGAGCACTCTTAGGATGAATGGCTTAAGTTGATTGTACCCAATGTCCCTGCATAATCTTTCTCCTTTATGTTTCCAGCATGAAGAGCTGTTTCAAGTTTTAACGCAAATGCATCTGCGTTGGGAAACAAGGAACTTTATTGACACAAAATATGTGGCACTTGTCCTGATGCCAGAGGTGAGCGCCTCAAATATTGTATTCAGTACATATTGACATAACCTGCCTCACAGTCACCTCCAGGACACGTGCGGTGTCTGCGGCAGGTGTTTCCACCGGACACACAAGGATAACAGAAGTCAAGGGTCGTCATCGAATACGATGGACGAACATCACATGTTGACAAACGAATGACATGGCTGTCTGCTTCTACAATGTACATACATGTAAACACAGATTATTGTATTGAAAATTGACATTACTGTATGCAAAAACTCAAGCTGCTATACCAGCAAGATTGGTTTTAGATTAACCTTCTAAAGATCTTAGCCACCTCCCTTAGTACGGGGGTTCGAAGTGGATCCATTTCCAGATAAGGACTTGTACTCAAACAGGTTGCATGTCCAAATAAGTTGAACATTTGACTGTGATTGTTTCATTGGAGTGCTTGAGAATGTCTGTGAAGAAATTTCCCTGAATGCAATATTTACATATTACATGTACATTGCTGAAAGTCAAAACATGGCCTTTTATATTTATTTCTGTTGCAGGCAATTGTGTATGGCCTCCACAAGGTGGAAGCCATCAGCCTTGAGGAAGCTGAGAAACAGATGGACAAAGGACCAGAGCGGGCTCCGGATGAGGTGTGGTACAAGAACTAGCTGTGCACACCGACACCTTGGTGGCAGACAATTTAATGGCCCCCCAAGTCAAGAGTTGCACATAGTTGTTCTCAAACCATATACATTCTTGTACATGTTCGAATATAACTTCCTTCCTCTCTACCACACGTCATGCTGCGATGAGTTTACTTTTTATCATACTTTTCCAACTGGTTTGCCAGTGTCACTGACAAAAGATGCTACCTGATGTCTGACCGTTTCCAAAATCGCTGTTGCTTGAGTAACTGCTTTGGGCGTACACAATCTTATTACCTAGATGTATAACCTTCATAGCCTGGGTGCCATCCGATTTGTATAACGGCTACCCCGAAAAAATCGGGGTAGCTGTTATACAAATCGGATGGCAACCAGGCTATAACCTTCAGACATATCAACATTAATTTATCCCCACAGCAATGTTCTCACTGTAGCAATTTAAGTGAACTATATGGTTTACTTTCAATTAAAAAAAAAGTACACCATATAGTTTACTTTGATAGAAAGTAAACTATTATAACAGTATAGAGCTTACTTTGATTGAAAAAATGCTAACGTTAACAGTATTGAACCTGAGAATATTGAGTATATATATATAACATGTATTACCATAATTCCACCAGGGTACATAATTCCGCCACCCTGAAAATATACATCCAATCAGATGTCAAACCCAATGCACAGTTTAGCTATACATGAGTGCATTACACTGGGGGACGTTGGATTTGAGATCTGTTTGGACTATTATTTTTTTCAGGGTGGCGGAATTATGTACCCTGGCGGAATTATGGTAATACATGTTACAGTGTATTAAATATTCCTTTTGAATTGTGTACCTTATTTTTGGTGGGTGCAAGTAATTTTATGTAGTTGCTTTTATTGAAAAAATGGTACATTATTGAACATGAGAATATTGAGTAATATTTCTTTAGAATTTAGAATTATATGTCTTTTTGTTGGGCAAGTGATCTTTTGTCACCTGCACCAGTGCAAGGTGACCCAAAATCTACTTCGACCCCAGTTTTGTTTTTACAAATCCCTAAAATCAGAGTCATGATGAACAGGGAGATTCTCACATTTGGGAAGTTTAATCAGAGGTCCTTAGTAAGCCAAAGGTCACATACCACACTGACAGCTGTCACAATGGTAACCAGCACTGTAGCAAAGTTGTCACCATGGTGTTGGGTTTCAAGTCATTGCAAATGGATCGCTTGTAAATGCATTGTGTTTGAATACAAATAAACAGTGCGGTTCTTAAAGTTAAACTTCCTCTATATCATGATCAAAGCTTCTTTGAAAAGATGGGTGAGAAAGAGGAGGGGGGAGATTAACGTTATGTCAGGTGATAATATACTGTTGACCTTTACTGTGAGTGTGAAAGCCCACAGACATATTCCATTTCAGTCACTTTATCAAAATCTAAAACCGAATGTTTTTGATGACCCACACTTACTAAATGTTACCTTATGAGTTTTTTTTATCTTAGTAATACCTTAATCTATGACTTCTGCTAGTCATAATTCTGAAAAACATTGTTCGTTGAGCGTCATATCCGATCGTTTTTTTTTTACGATTGCACATACCTATTCTTAAAGTTTCTTCTTCTCCGGCTAATACAAGGCAATGCTGATAATCGTTTCCTCCCGCATATGATCCATACTTCGGCCTAAAACATCCCTCCCCACGCTGCCACGGCAACTGTATACTAGTATCTATATCTTTGGGTCAAAGGTCAGTTACAGGCTATCGCCACTACGGTGGAGGGGTGGCATTGTACTATATTACTACTAAGTTTGCCACTATGTGGTCGCTAGTTGCCAAAAAGAGAACGTTTCATCGTAAGAGGTATGGAAACTGCTACCTTAAACTATACATGTAGCTAAGATCATATAAACATGGTGTTGTTGAATAGTCTGATGGATCATTGTATATTTGTTACAACTGTTTCTGGATTATTTTCTGCCACCCTTTTTGACACTTTTGGTATCGCCCTCCCTTCCATGAAACCGATTGGAGACCTCATGAGCTTGTCGTTATAATGGGTAGAGTAGAGTGAGTAGAGTAAATATGTAGCATTTGTGAGCTATTACTATTACACGTTTTATAGTTATATGTTGCTTACCTTTTTCCATTTGATTTGTTGAAGTTGTTGAAACAAGGAGGTCTGATTTTAACCTCCTTGGTTGAAAGAATAAAGGATAGAGATCAAACTTCTTTTTGTTTTTGTCTTTTTTATTGTTATCTTATGTAAACACAACTGCCTTCGTATTTCAGACAGCTTATGCGTTAAATTCGCCTGTATTTATATTATGAGCATGTCTAGTTTTGACATATATCTGCTGGAGTACTCTGTAATGATAATAACTGGCTGTTAACGCGATGATAGCCGCCATCGTGAAACGCCTAATCTACAGTACAGTAGCATATGCCTTCTGACTGAAAAAAAATGAAAACATGGTTAAAAAAAATGAAAACATGAAGAAATCATGTCAATACAGCCCAAAATGGAAGATTAAAAAAATCCTGTCAATAGTGCCAAAAATGGCACTGCTGACAGGACGATCCTGTCAATAGTGTCAAAAATGGCACTGCTGACAGGATGATCCTGTCAGCAGTGCAGTATTTTCTGCTATTGACAGGATCGTCCTGTCAGCAGTGCAGTATTTTCTGCTATTGACAGGACGATCCTGTCAGCAGTGCAGTATTTTCTGCTATTGACAGGATCGTCCTGTCAGCAGTGCAAAATTTTCTGCTATTGACAGGACGATCCTGTCAATAGCCTCAGGCTTGTTTTTTTCCTAGGAACAGGCCAAAATCTATGCGCGCGCGGACGTTACCCATAAAATTTACTTGGTGTGGCCTTACTTATTACCGGAAGGCCTGCCCAGTGCTTTAGAGGATAGGGAGGGCTGGCGGAAAAGAGTCATGAACATCCGTAAAACATTCAAAATGATGATGATATCACTTAGTATTTGTCTCTCCCAAGTAACAAGAATCCTGTCTATAGTGGCCACGTGTCTACTGTACCCATTTAATTCACTGCACGTCCCCTATATAGGCACTATGGACAGGTTTCACTGCATTTCATACATAACGAATCTTGCATATTTACGTTTTGTTTCGTCGGTGGCCACTCTGGTGGTCCCTTTCCCACCATTCACGAAAGTCTTGTATTAATCACCGCTTGAACTTGTTACATGGTGAAAAATCACATTGGTTGTCATGGTAGTAGGAGATTAAAGCACACCCTATAAAAAAAACCGCCTCTGAAGTTGCACACATACGACGAAGTTGCTGTTTCTTCTTTCGCCACAACGTTTTGAGACAACGTTCTGAAGAATAGCGTCTTGAAGTAGAGTCGGGAACTCCATTAGTAAGTGCTTTACGGTGTACCTCAGTTTACGACAACTCTATTTAGCGTTTTAATATGTAAGACAAATATAAGTGGCAGTTATCTGAGCGAGATAGAATTGTTGATACACGTTCACCCTCTTAGGCTTTGACAAGCGGTAAGGCGTGTTGAAGTTTAAAGTTAATGAAACAGAAGAGATGTTCCCACCTGGAGATTTTGATCTCTATGGTCTTCCTCAGTAGACTTACCCAAATCAAGGACGTCCGGAGTGACTAGTTGAAAGCTCTAGATGAGAACAATTTTGTGAAACTTCGTTGTGTGAAACTTCCACGTAGATGCTAGCCAACCATTGCTCCAGCTACTAGTTTTATCAACAGAACCATTTTTCTTCGCATTGATCTTAGCCCAGTGTAAAACAGCAGAATCAATGCATCTACCCACTGGATCGGTATGTCCTTACTGTCAGTCCTTATTAGCTCTGGAGTCAGTGTATAACTATTGTTACAGTAGAAAACTGTGCAAGAACATATTTGTGTAGAGAATGTAGCATTCTTACAAAATGTCATGACATGTTAATAGCTTTGCGAGAAGCTTCTATTTTTTGCTCGTTCACTGTCTCTTAAAACATGTCCTAGTGACCACCACTGCAGATATTAAGGTCCGTCTGGCCATTGTGGCCACTTTTGGTGATCCCTTAGATTGCTCAGTTCTTTTATCTCCTAAGAATACTGTCTATAGTGGCCGCCTGTCTACTGTTATTATCAAATTCACTGCATATTCACCTGAATAGTCACTATGGACTTGCTCTTCTTGCGTAGCGTAACGAATCTTGCATATTTATATAGTTTCGTCGGTGGCCACCCTGGTGGCCCCTTTCCCACCACTCACTTAGTATTATATTAATAACCGACTAAACTTGTTACATGGGGAAAATTACATCGGTTATCAAGGTATTAGGAGATTATAGCGCACCATATAACAAGCCCGCCTCTGAAGTTGTACACATACTGCGAAGTTTCTGTTTCTTATTTCGCCGCAACGTTTTAAGATAAAATCCTGAAGAAAAGCGTCTTGAAGTAGAGTCGGGAACTCCACTAGTAAGTATTTATAACGGTGTACTTCAGTTTTCGACTACACTTCTTAGCGTTTTATGTTTTACGTAAGACAAATATAATTGGCAGCCATCTGCGTGAGATACAATTGTCAATACATGTTTATCCCCTTAGCTTTTGACCATGGTGCTAAGTACAATGGTGGGGAAACACAATGCTTTATGGGAATTTAGGCTTGTTACAAAATGGCCGCCAAGTAAGATGGAGATGGCGGCTCATGAAGTAACGTTACATGTTGGAAAACAGATCACAGTTCACCAGGATGACCACGCAAGACTACATACCAGGTACGTACAGACGTAGGATACATTGGTGCTTCATCTTTCATGTGACTTGTACTTATAGAAGAGCCGATTGCCCTGTTTCTGAACCTTTCGTCCTGGGAAACTGCAGTTTGTGCCCTCTGACGACATTAAAATTTGATCTGTGATAGTATGGTAGTTAGAAATCGCATTTGAAGTACTGATTTAATTACTAATATATGGGCCCTTTTAACACTGAAAGCCTGAAAATAATCGGTGGAACCGATGTCGAGAAATTGAATCCACAATGTATTTGCCCCCCTCCCACCCACTGAACAAAGTGTGTTTGGTTTAAGCGCTGGCATAAATTCAAAAATTTGACACGATCTTTTTGAAAGTAGGATAAAACTTCAATACATATATCAAACCAACATATTCCGGAGTATGAAAGAAATCAGGACTTTTGATCCAGAAATAGAGACTGTCAAAGTTGCTTCAAATTTGGGCAGCCATTTTGTTTACACCATGTGAACTTCAAGCACTGGCATAAATTATAAAAATTCAACTGATGTTCTGCAAAGTGAAATCAAACATGACTACATACATCACTCCAACACATTCTGGAATATTAAGGAGATGCCAACTTCTTATTTAGAAATATAGACTGTCAAACTTACCTAAAATTTAGTCAGCCATGTTGTTTACAGTGTGTGAACTTCAAGTGCTGGCATAAATTCAAAAAAAAATTAACTAATCTTGTTTAAAATGAAATGGAACACAGCAAAATATATCCCCCCAAACTATTCCAGGATATGGAAGAGATCCAGGTATTTGATGAAGAAATATAGACTGTCAAAAGTTACCTAACATTTTGGCAGCCATCTTGTTTACATTCCTCAACTTCAAGTGCTGGCATAAATTTAAAAAAATCAACTGATCATCTTCAAAGTCAAATAAAACTGAAGTACATATACCCCCTTAAATTATATCAGGATGTTGAACAGATCTGTTTATATGATCTAGAAATATTAATTTTCAAAGTTACCCAACATTTTGGTGGCCATCTTGTTTACATTCCTCAACTTCAAGTGCTGGCATAAATTAAAAAATCAACTGATCCTCTTCAAAGTCAAGTAAAACATAACTACATATACCCCCTTAAATTATTTGGGGATATTGAAGAGATCTATGCATTTGATCCAGAAATACAGATTTTCAAACTGACCTAACATTTGCTTAAATTGGGCAGCCATCTTGTTTACAAGTGCTGGCATAAATTCAAATACATGAACTTATCTTGTTGAAAGTAAAATGAAACTTGACTACTTATATCACCCCCACATATTCTGGAATATCAAAGTGATCATGACTTTTGATCCAGATATATAGACTGTCAAAGTTGCTTAATATTTTGTCAGCCATATTGTTTACAGTGTGTGAACATCATGTGCTGGCAGGAATTTAAACATACAGAGTGATCTTCTTCAAAGTCAAATAAAACAAAGCTACATGTCTCCTGTCACACCATTGCAGGATATAGAAAAAATCCTTTCATTTGATCCAGAAATATAGACTCTCAAACTTCCCAACATTTTGTCAGCCATATTGTTTACAGTGTGGGGATTTCAAGTACTGGCATACATTTCAATACCACAACAGATTTCTTTAAAAGTCAAATGAAACAAAAGTACATATGTAAGTCCAACATATTGCAGGATATTGAGAATGTACATATTTTTGATAAAGAATTATAGACTTTCAAACATGTTCAAAATTTTGTCATCCATATTGTTTACACTCAAAACTGCTTTGGGTGTCAACTATAAGCCTAGGGAGAAATTCTCAAAGAAATAAAGGATCTTTTCCCAAATAAAGTAGAATAGTAGAACATATACACCTCTAACATATGTTGTCATTTCAAAGAGATACATGCCTATCAATCAGAAACATTTGCACACAAGAATGATACACCTAGTGTATTATTTATACATTGGCCCGGTCCCCCCTCCCCCACCTGCAGTAAATGTGTGTATTCATGAATGTTTGGATCTTATTTTAAACACTTATGACCATCTATGAGCTGCACAGCCAGTAATATTATTGTGGAATAGGAACTCATGATGGAGTATCAACTTAGAAAAAGCCATACAAAGTCATTCATGGTGTATGAATAGAAATGTAATGCATGTACCAGAGGATTATCCATGCAATGCTATGTGATGCAGTCTGAATGTTGACAGTATTTCAGTTACTGATTGTCTGCAGAAAGAAAAGCAAATGGTACTTTCATTTCATCTGATTATTATTCTCTTTATTTTCTAGTTGAAGTACAGGACCAAGTGAGGTACTGTTATGTTCTGCACCAGGAATGTGGAGTTCAACCCTGCCTAAGACACCAGATCACCTTTTATTGCTATCTTCAAGTCCCATTTATCATTTCATGTTAAAACCAGAATATTCATACCTTGGATAAAAACATGACAATGTATTCTAAAGATATATTGTTTATTATTTATTTCTTCATTATAATGATGCTGATAATTTCATATCTATTTCTGGATGACTTGGGATTCCTCATCCCATCTTTACCTGGACCTGTAAGCAAGCTTTACAAGTAATTGATGCTAGTCAAGCGATTGCATTGTTGGCATTATAATGTTTTATTTTATGATATCTAAAGTGCATGTGTATATGGTAGGATCCATTCTGGTATGACATACCTTAATTTATTGGAAGGTTGTAGATACATGGATTTTGACTAGAATCATTATAATTATGATAGGAATAACTTGTGTCAACGAATGTCACTGTGTACAATTTTTAAGATATTGTTTTCAGAAACCCAAGGTATTGCCTGTATTGTACCAATTTTTATTCTTTTATAAATAATCAAAGTATGATTTCACAACAAGATTACACTTCAGCACAGTGGAGGCATTTGGGGGGATGGCAAGCTAGAAGTATCATGTTTTCACAGAAGACAAGTATCCAATAATTTCCTGAAAATTATCCCAGTACCAAGAAAATTCATTGAAATGGCCTAAGTATAAGTTTAGGATAAATATTTACATATCTTGATAATGATGTGTACAAAATGTCTAAAAAATCAACAATCACAACTCAAAAACTCGCTTAGATATGTGATGTAGAACAGGAAAAAAATTGACTTCGCCGCCAGCAAGTCTACCCATCGTCCCTTGAGCGTGAAACGAGCCTCGATCTCGTGAGTGCCGCCGTTTCCGTACCTCTCTATTATTACCATGAATTGAGATACCAGGACTCAGTTTCCGGCCTATGGAAAAAGTAATAGTAGAGTGCAAAAGTAAGGTACAGAACTTGAATATGCTTGAGTTCAAGGTATAATGTACAAAATATGTCAAAATGGGCTAAACTTTGTCGGCTAGTTCACTCGTGACGCAATCTTTTAAAAGCGCTATGCGGAAGGTCATGGAACTGCAGCAAGCGCACAGCACTAGGCTGTGACAGTGGAGTGGACAGTGGGGTGGAGTAATTTTTATTGTGCTTTTTTTTTACTTCTCTTTTGGGGTTTCTTTTTAGCACTGGAATTTTTCTTTCGCCCAACCCAACTTGGGTGAAAGAAAAATTCCAGTGAAAAAAATAAACCAGACTAAAAAAGTAAATAAAACATACCAAAAATTAATCCAAATCTCTGTTTGGAGAGTAGCTAACCGAACAAAGATCAAATTTCAACTTTTACAGTCTCAAACCTGGCGTATTCCTTTACCTTGTGCCACGGCAAACACCTCGCTGTCATACACACAAGAATCCCTCCGCCTGTCTCAAGTATATGCCAACCTACTTTGTGCCCGTACTACTTTTGACTAAGGGGTTCACCCATAAATACTGTGAGCTTGCGGAGACAGAACACAGATTTCGTCCTATGGAAATATATATATATTTTTTTTTTCAACATCACAACGACCACTTTTATTTGGCCCTCTAGCGAGGTCAACGGAATTACTGCAGCCGGCTTACCCTGGAAAGCAGCTGCGTAATGTCGCGCATATATACACGAACAGGGAAATCTTCACAATCCAAATAATACGGTGTACAAGCCGATACCTTTTGTATACCACACAGCGCGGTTTTCTCATTGCTACCTCTCACATGAGTGGCTCTAACCAGTATAGAAGAGTTTTGTCTGCACTACATGTACTTTCTATACCCGCATCATTAATACGGCCTTGCGGTTTGAATTTTGTCAGAAAAAAGGTAATTGAAAAGCTTGTATGTACGACTTACAAGTAAGACTTCAGAAATCCACGAGGCTTTTATCTCATTTGCGCTGCACGTGGGCCAAAATTTTGCGGGTATTAATGTTAGCGGTCATTGAACAAAAAATCATGCAAAAGCAAAAAATAAATGTTAACTACGATTTATTTCACTTTAGACCGATGACTTCACCTAAAACTTAAAGTCGCAGACTGGATGTAACAAAACATTCCAACAATATCCAGATCGGTTATAAGTATATATGTATATTGATATATGGGGTCAACTGAAAATTGTTTGTAGTTAGTGTTAAAGCTTAGTCTTTATTTCATATTGACTTGTACCAACACAAATGAAATTCCATGCTAAATCAAAGGGATTATTTGAATAACAATCATCCGTTACATTTTCCAGCAATAAAGATGTCAGACGAATCAGAGAGATCGGCGCCTTTCTCCAAAAAGAAAGATAGGAAAAAGAAGAAAAGATCTAAAAAAAATAACGGCAATGTGGAAAGGGTGACCAAGTCTTCTGAGAAGGACACCCTTCCAGTGCAACAGAATGATCATCAGCAGGGAGAGATGGGAGCAGTGGGTGGACACACCCAGAAGGTAGATACGCGATTCAATTTTTTTAATAATTTCATATTTGTCTGTTACATCAACCAACTAGAGCTCGGTGACCTCATACCCCCATGACAAGTTTATTAATTTTATATCTTAAATGCATAGTGATGTTCACCTGTAAATGGCTTACATTTACAATTCTGCTCATTAGCCAAATTTTATGCAATTTCTTAATCATATTCTCCACCCAATAACAGCATTATCTTAAGAAATAAGGCTGTTCTATCTTATCCTCATAAATTATGCAAATGAGGTCGTGATTTGAATAAATTATTCTTAATAAAGATCACGTTCACTGAACTTGCAATTAGGCAGGTATTAAATTACCCACAGTTACCACCATAGAATTGTACCAATGCCACAATAATTAGGCAAATTAGGTTTTCATTTACATAATTAATATCTGCCAATACCTTCCTATCGTTCTTAATTACCTACATCACAAGTGTTTTATAGCCCTAATATCTAACACAACGGATTTATAGCATTTCCTCTTTAATAATGCAAATTAGATCCTGATTTTCATAATTGTTATTTTGTGATGAGAAGCAGCTATCAACATTATCCAAACCATCCAAAATTTATGACCCTAGCATGTCCAGAACGCGAGATATCAAAACCAGAAGTTGTACTGCAGTACCAATGGAAGCCATTAGGGGGCCCAAAATTAGCCTGGGTACCATCCCCAGTAGTATATTCGCAAACTCTATAACTGGGTCTGGACTTGCACACATATAAAACGATTGGTCATGACGTCACGTAATGAGCTAGCCCGAGCAGCGGGGCTTCATTTGATTGGCTGAGCCTCAGAGGCGACGGCCAATGGCGCACCTGCATTATTCAAGTGATGTTTGTTGTTTTGTAAACACAGATCTTCGCGCGAGTGTTCCTTTTCTCGGTGCGTTCTTTTTTTTTTACCGGTAGGACGCCCAAAACATCACGAACGAAATTATTCAATGCATCTTTTTGCTCATTTTTGAGCGACGATATTCCGTCTAAATCGTCCAAAACGGACGTGATTGCGAGGTCAACATCAACCTCCGTGAGCTGAGCGGCTTGTGCGTCAGCCATGTTGATGATTTATCGCGGAAAGACTGACTACGGCTATATCATGTGCGCTTTAGCGTTCGGTTCGCCGTCGGACATGTTGATGATAAGGCGTTCGGACGTTCGAACGGACGCTAACGTCGCCGTTCGGACATCCGAACAGCCCTTACCTAATATGTACACACCCAAAAAAGGGCTTAGACGAGTAGGACCAATCAGCGCGCTCGTTCAAAATCTGAACGAATATTTAGACTCCAGACGCTACATATGTGTGCAAGTCCAGACCCAGTTATAGAGTTTGCGAATATACTACTGGGGATGGTACCCAGGCTAGCCCAAAATCCCAGTTATCGTGACACCCTAAGTATGAAACCAATCCATCCAACCGTTCTTGAGTCGTTATTGATCTTGTTGACGAACAAACAGAATGACAAACGCAACTGAAAATATAGCCTCCATGACATGCCATTTTATAGTGCATATTTTGAGTATTTTGAGTCAACCGGCCTCAACCGACCTCTTAATTTGCAGTATACAATGGATTATTAACGTTCAGGCTACAAATATTCGCTTTTTTAAGTTATAACTTCTAATATGCTTTAACCACGTGGAGTCGCAAATTTTAAAGTATTTTAGGTTATTTTTTTGCATCCATATATTATAAGGTCCATCAATCCCAACCAACCAATCAAACATTTAAAAAAACAATATTCAACCTCTATTTTAATAGCAAAGTTTGCCATTCAAACAGCCCATGTCTATGGCGGAACTGGATGATCCACAGCAAGACGAAAAGGGATCAGTTGGAGGACAAACACAGAAGGTATTGAAGGGATTTGTTTTTAAACAACGCTAAAGTGTGCGCTAAAGTTTATAGTGGCATGCATGGCCATATTTGACCTACTTTCTCATCGGGTAGGAGTAGTTTCTTCTTGCTGATTGGCTGCTGGAATAATTTGATCAAACTTATGATAATCAAACGAATATATGATTCTATAGAAAGATCACCTCAAAGCAAACACATGGATGGCATGGTGAATAAGAAATTTTGGAATAAGGAAGAAGAATTGGTGAAATGTGTTGTATTTGCTCTTGAGCATATGTTGGCCTTCTAGTTTATTATGGCTTCACCACACGAAGTGGTGTGGTGAAACATATTGTGTTCTCTCATGAGTAAAGAGACTGTTTACACGTCAACCAAGTCTTTTATTTTATTCAGCCGACAATTCAAAGACCGTCTGCCAAATTCCTTCAGGGCAATTCTGACTGGTTCACATTACATTACATTACATTACATTACAGGTGTCGCTGCTACAGATACTGAACGAGCTAAGGCGTGTCTGCCTGCTCCCAAATGCATTGAATTCCGTACGATGGCGGTTCTCAGCACTTAAGGATCACCAAAATATGCCCACATTTTGCACGCTATTGCGCGTACGACGGGTTGTGACCAAGGCTATAGTCATTTAATACAATAACTCTTACTTCTTCAGGATGCGGTCCCAAACGTAAGTAAGTCTGAATCCCCCCTCAGCTTAGTTCATGACAGGAGTAGATTTTCTGATCCATATAGCCTCCTTAATCGAACGTGTGCATCTTTTGTCTTCTAAATCTATTACTCTGGCCGCGCCCAGTCTATTACACAGTTATTTCTAATGATGTGGTTTGTCAGTGCTGGTTTGTTTAAGTTCATGTCCTTCTCTGCTTCCTTCTTCTGTACCCTTATGTACCTTACCACCTTTATGTTCTCTGCCTCCTTCCTATAAGGGGGTATACAGACCTATTGTGAACCAGTCAGAATTGCCCTGAGGAAGGTGACAGACGGTCATTGAAACGTCGGCTAAATAAAAGACTCGGTTGTGTAAAAATGTGTCTTTACTCAATGTTTTACCAACCTGTTGAAACTATTCACGGACCTGTTCTCCAATGTTTCTTTTCCTCTTCCTCCTCCTCCATCTCCTCTTCCTGCTGATTTTGTCAAATAGATTCAATTTCTTTTTGTTTCTTTCATTTTTGGGTCAAAAGCATGAAGCTTGTCATGAATTGTGGCCGAATACCTCCAAGTTTTTCATTTTTTTTTAAATTTTCGTGATACATGATTTATTGGAGAATGTTGGTTGTCCCCGTCAATAACAAATGAAGCAAGTTCGATCCCAGTAATTACCGGACCATTGCTCTACTTTCAATTCCCGGGAAAGTTTTCTTTAGGACTAATTGGATAGAATAAATAAAGGAAAGAACAGAAGCTCACTTCAAGAAATCTCAGTTTGGCTTTAGACGTGGGAGGGGTACAGTTGATGCCATATTTGTAGTGAGACAAATCCTTGGAAACACCCGGGAGAGAAAAGTAAACGTTAACTTTCCTTTCGTTGACTTCAAAACTTTTATACTGTCTGAAGGAAGGTTCTTTGGACAATGTTGCGAGCTATAGGGGAAAATGATTAAATTGTTATCATTGTAGCCTATCATGAAATGCTGCGAATGCATAAACTTCCGTTCTCGATTACAAAAAAAAAAAAATATATGTACACACCAAATTTATGGTTTTGGAGCTACTCACTTCCAAGCTCTGAAACAAAATCGGCTGCTGCTTTACAAAGACTCTCAAACTCAAGCGCGCCTTACGATCCGTTAGGAGGAATGTTTGACCACTGTGTGGGCTGTTCCACACCTCAGTAGGGGTTTATCCTGATGAAATATTGTAATTTACCTAAAACAAAATGCTAAGGTGTAAAAACAAACGAAAAAAATGTGCAGCATTCGGGGCCTACTAGCAGACGGCATGTCAAACTACACACCAATGTAGCCAGCGGATCGTGAGTTATAGCTGCGAACACTTCCGTAATTTTCTAGCGGTTCGCTATGCCGCGACTACCATGATCGTAACATATGCTTAAGAAAACCGCACGTCCCTAACATCGACGAAGTGCATGGCCTGTGCAGACATTCCTTCAAATAGGGATAATGGGGGTATGGACTATTTGAACACTTCACATTTTGGGCAGGGGTGATTTAGGCACAGGCCATTGATGTGGGAAGGTTATAGGTCCATTTGGTACGGGGGATGTGGTGAAGCCATTTGCTGCATCTGCTTCCGAGCAAAACGTCGGCCTTTCTAGTTAAATTTTAAATCTCTTTTTAGTGTTACTTGTCAATTTTCTCGTATATATATTAAGATTTTTAAATCTACTTAAAAGCAGTGTAAACTGAAATCCAAAGATATTTCTAGCTTTACTAAGTTCAGCCTGTCATTCCAAAATATTTCATATTCTCTCTCTATAGTCTTACCTATCATTTGAAAAGTTTTTAGTCACTATTTTTTGCTCTCTATCTTTCAAACATAGTTAACTATTACAAACAATTATGTAATAGTTCCATAAAAAGATCTGCTCATAAATTTAATGTTCAAACGGGCACATTTTTATATGAAGGAAAATGAAGGGCACTAATTTTTATCAATTGTGTCAAAGCTGATTGTTAAAATGTCAGATGTAATGCAAAACAAACGTTATACAACATAAAGAAGAACAATACATACACAAGTTAAATAAAATATCATTTTAATGTATACTTATACTTAATCTGCCATGTGTATCTCACAGGAGAGATAAGAATTTCAATCTCCCCTAGGGGAGATAGGAATTCCAATCTCCCCTAGGAGAATTCCAGATTCCACTGGATTCCAATCTCCCCTGTGGAATATACTTGTGACTTGACATGTGGCTTGGCACATATCGCGTCAATTAAAATGTGTTGAGAATTAGAAATGTACATTACACTGAATCCTTGCAAAGTCAGTACCAGTGTGATCTAATGATGGTCATTTACTTCTTATCACCTCTGTAATCTCAAAATCTGTCTTAAGGAGGCTTCCCCACAGCAGGACTCTGAAGGGGAGAACGTCCACCCAGTTTCTAAGTGGTCAGTCGATGAAGTCTGTGCACTGATAAGGAAAATCAGTACTGAAGAAATCACAGAAACATTCAAAGGTATAATAATATTTATTTGGTCTGCTTGTTTTAATAACAATATCAACATTATCTGTTTTAATAATACTTTGGATGACACGTTGGACTGTACAATATGATGGAAAATCATATTGATAAAGGTCTGTTTTATAATTTTAGATCAAGAAATAGACGGAGAAGCATTGTTACTTCTTGATGAAACTGACCTCCAGGGAATGATCCCTAAGACTGGGCCAAGGCTCAAGTTAAAAGACGCCCTTGCAAAATCTCTCAATGAGTTGGTGAGTTAACTCTTCTTGCCTTTCTTGTTGCAGTGCCACGTTTATGCGAAGGTTGTATCATTGTGGAAAACATTTTAGTGGAAAAGTGTTAAGATTTCATAATAGTAACAGCTGGAAATTCTATACTTGCCACATTTGAAAGTTACATGAAGATTAACGTGAAGATTTTAATCTCCTCGTTAATGACTAGTTAAAGGTTGTTAAAACAACTAGTCATGGCCCTATTTGCATAATGTATTAGATTTTATAATTGCGCTCTTTCTTTTAAGATAAGGTAATGTCATTGGGTGGAGAACATGATCAACTGATGCGATTCTTGCAGATGATGTTCTTATTTGAGTAATCAATGATGAGGATGATGATGATGATGATGATGATAAGGGTATAGGGTCTATATAGGGTCAACCCTATCTAGACGGGGGGGGGGAGGTAAAAGTTCCCGCGCCAACTTTGATGTCGCATAGCGTCCAAAGTGCTAATGCGCTAGGGCCACCAAAACGTAGTAACTTTTTCTAGAATGTTCTTGGCAACAATTCTATAGTAGTGAAATAAGATTATAAATTCTCCTGTTGCCATAGCAATAGGTTTTTGGCGCATTTTTGGCAAAAATCAGTAATTTTCGCTTAACAATAAAAAAATTTAGGTTTTTTATGTTAGTTTGCACATGCTCTCTAATATGTATGTAACATGTAATTTTATATTCTTCTATCATGCATATGCATAATTTATGTTAATTTGATTACGTCATCCTTCAAATTCTAAAATGGCGGACCATATGATAAGATCAGGTACATTTCGATTTTTTGAACAAATTTGTAGATATTTAACTTCCTCCGTGTGTATTAATTTGACACGTCTTGATTCTATAGAGCAAAAGGGAACTTGATGCGTCTTACCAAAAGTTACAAAGCACAACCAAGAATGGGGGCCTTCACGTCTTTGTAGATGACTCCAACATATGGATCGAGGGGAAAAAGGCCGCAGCTCAGCAATGGGGGCTTTTGTGTGATGAAGACCCACGTCTTAGAATTGAGTACGGTAACTTCCTTGATTTATTGTCAAGCAAGGAACGTCCAACCTCTAGTGTCATAGAGACAGCAAACATGTATGGGTCTATACCACCTCCCAATGATTCTCTGTGGGGTAAGATGAGAGAAAAGGGTTGGAAAGTTGACTTAAAGGAGAGAAATATAAAAGGAAAAGAGAAAGCTGTCGATGCTCAACTAATGATTGATGCCATCTGTTTTGTCGAGCAAAACAAAGAAACAGGGGGAACAATTGTTCTAACTTCTGGGGACAAAGACTTCATTCCATTCATTAACAAAGTTTTAGAGTATCCCGCTTGGAACATAGAGGTATGGATGTGGAAACATGCAATTTCCAGTAGTATCAAAAACCTGGCAAAGACTCGTGATAGGATTGTGGTTGAGAATCTTGATGCCCACATTCAAGAGATGACTTTCATAGAGTATACGTTCAATTGGAAACAATGCGATGCGTCTACCCTACACAGCCAAGCCTGTGTAATAAAGGGGGCTGTGATGAGCAATGTAAACTCAACTTGGATCAATGAAATGGAGGAAAAGTTTCGCTGGCCTTTCCAGTATGACGATAATTGGTTGAAAGAGAAGGGGGATTTGGTTATAACATTTTCACCTAGAGTTGAGGAAAGGTTCTCAGACCGCCTTTTCATCAGCAAGTGCTTCAGCAAAATTGAGGGATCAAGACAGCTCAATTGTAATGTCTCAGAGGGGAATGTTATCACTTTTCATGCGTATGAGCAAAAGCTTTCCCCGGAAGAAAAGAAAAGGACTAATAAACGTGTACAAAAGACGACGTTGTCTGAACAGTGCATATACAAATTCTATTGTAACTATGGATTACGTTGCCACTATGCTCACAGTGAAAGTGAGAAGAGGCACTTTGAGAAGCGTGGAAACCATGGCCGGCGATACAAAACACAATTGTGTTACTACACACAAAACAAAAGAACCTGCTTAAAGACAGTTTGCAAAAATGCACACGGAGAGGGAGATGCTGTTTGCACCAAGTGCTATGACAAAGGTCACACAGAAAGTAATTGCCGGGGCAGGTAATTTCTTT